GTACCACCACACCCAGCTGATTTTTTCTGTTTTTAGTAGAAACGGGGTTTCTCCATGTTGGTCAGGCTGGTCTCAAACTCTGACCTCAGTTGATCCACCTGCTTCGGCCTCCCAAAGTGCTGGGATTACAGACGTGAGCCACCATGCTTGGCTGAGCATTTCTAATTTATGTTAAAAATTCCACATTACAAGGTATTTTTTTTTTTTTTAAGAACAAAGCAATTGACCAAAGCAATGGAAGTAATTAGGAAAACATTTTAAAAAGCTTAAAAATATCAAAGCTTTAAATTGTACTAAACACACCTTATCTGATGTCATCAGCACAGTCGACTCAGTTTTTACTCCAGACGGATGAATATTCACAAACATTCCTGAATCTAACAGTCCTGTTGACCTATGACAAAAAAGCACAAATTTTAACCTGAGTTTCGTTGGGAAGAAAAACAAAATGACCAGCTACTCAGTGTCTGTTTTACTTTACCTTGTAGTTTCACTATCTGTTACAAAAGTTGGAGTTGCAGTTAATGGGCTACGAAGGTCTTTTCGGATATAGATTTTTTCTGTTGAAGCGGCACAGTTGGAAGATTTTTCTCGTGATACTTCAATGGGTTTTCTTTCACATTGGACAGCTACAAAAATGTGTTAAACTATTATATCACAATATAGGATTTATAGACAATTATAAATGTAAGCTGTAGGTAAGCTTAATGCTGCTAATAGGAGACATGCCTATCATACTAAACTCCAAAGATAACCATCAATCTCTAGAAATTATGTGTAAGTTCAACAAAGTTGCTTTAGATTAGTAAAACTAGCTGGCTTGCATCACTTATTCTCTATTCTCTCCCTGCTCCCCATTCCTGTGATAGAAATGTAAAGGAACTCTTATTTTTTAAAAGTTCACCATCAAGAAGAAAGAACTAAAGTTAGGAGTCACTTACCTATCTACATGAGTGCTTTAAAAAAATGAAGTGAAATTTAATCCATTGAAACTAATACTGAAAGGAACAAAAAAGCCTAAGGTAGATCTTTTATTAACTAAGGACAGGAGATTTTTGAGAAGTAATTCAACTACTTGGTCTTTCTTTATAAAATACAATTAATATGTAATATTTATAAGAATTTTATCTCATAATATTTAGGAGATAGTATAGTAAGGTTGTTAAACTGCCAGGATTCAAAGCCAGCTTATGCCACTTATTGGTTGTATGACCTTGAGCAGATTTCTCAACCTCTGTTTACTCAAATGTAAAATGGGTAACACAGTATTTACTGCAGAGAATCGCTGTGAGAGTAAGTTAACATGCATGATAAGTACAGTGTCTAGCGTAGTGAGAGCTCAATGGATACTAGCTATTGTCATTATCTTACTAATCTTTAGTAGTTAAATCAAAAAGTAAACTGGTATCTGAAGTTAGTTAAGCTTTTTGCCAAACACAAACTACAAATACATGCTTGTTACACAGGCATTCAATAAATATTAGTTGAATAAAAAATACCTACATATTTATGTATTATATTTTTAGTTGGAGAACTAAACTAAAAAGTATACATATTTGACATATTTTAACTTGTTAATTTGAATACTCTTCCAGTTTGCTGGAATCCCTAAAAAGTATTTTCTGCTTAAAAGCTAATACATACAGTCTTGTTTCATTCCAAACGCAATACATCTCTGTAACCTGCAGTATTGGCAGCGGTTTCGGTGATGTTTATTAATAATACAATCCTTTGATCCTCGACATGAATATACTAAATTTTTTCGGATGCTTCTTTTAAAAAATCCTTTGCAGCCTTCACAAGTTACTGCTCCATAATGACGTCCTAGAGATAAAATGTTTAAGAAAATATAAATCACGTTATTTCAGAACAGAAATGAAATAAGCCAACTGCTCCCCTTTAAACCACATGGGATGAAACTGATTTTTGAGCTTCTGACATGAAAAACATTTTTAGAAGTTATTTTTATTTATTGTAATTATTTTAGAGATGCTCTGCAGCCCAGACTGAAGTGCAATGCTACGATCACAGTCCAGTGCAGCTTTGAACTACTGGACTTAAGGGATTTTCCCAAGTAGCTGGGACCACAGGCTTATGCCGCCACACCCGACCAGTTTTTTTATTTAACTTTTTTTAGAGACAGTCTTGCCATCTTGCCCAGGTTAGTCTCCATCCTGGGCTTAAGCCATCCTTCTTGCCTTGGCCTCCCAAAGAGGGTTACTAAATAGAGAATGAAACAAGCATATTCTCTAATAAAAAACAAATATATGAATTATTAATTTTTTTTTTTAGAGATGGGGTCTTGCTCTGTCACCTAGGCTATAGTGCAGTGGCATGATCAAAGCTCCCTAAATCCTTGAATTCCTGGGCTCAAGTGATCCTCTTGCCTCAGCCTCGTAGTGGCTAACAGTGCCATCACTACTGGCTGATATTTTTTGTTTAAGAGACAGGATCTCTTTGTTACCCAGGCAGATTTCAAACTCCTGGCCTGAAGTATTCCCAAAGTGCTGCGATTACAGGAATGAGCTACCTTGCCTGGCCTAATGTAATGTATTATTAAGGATCAGAACCCATCATTTTTAAATGATTCCTTTGCCAAAACTTCTAGTTTTCACATTAAAAAAATCTTTCTACAGATGGGCGTAATCCAGCCTGTAATCCATCACTTTGGGAAGACGAGGCAGGTGAATCACTTGAAGTCAGGAGTTCAACACCAGCCTCACCAGTATGGCGAAAGCCCGTCTCTACTAAAACTATAAAAATTACCTGGGTGTGGTGGCACACACCTGTAGTCCCAGCTACTCCGGAGGCTGAGGCAGGAGAACTGCTTGAACCCAGGAGGCAGAGGTTGCAGTGAGCCGAGGCTGCACCACTGCACTCCAGTTGGGGCAACAGAGTGAGACTCTATCTCAAAAAAAAAATTTTGTTTTTTACATGTTCACTTTCAAAAGTGAAATACACATTTTATTTCTTTACAAATCAAATTAAACTGCACTGAAGTAAAGAAAATAAGTGAATAAAGAACTCTGGGACCGAGCATGGTGGCTCACACCTGTAATCCCAGCACTTTGGGAGGCCAAGGAAGGGTGGGCGGATCATCTGAGGCCAGGAGTTTGAGACCAGCCTGGCCAACATGGTGAAACCCCGTATCTAATAAAAATACAAAAGTCAGCCAGGCATGGTGGCACACACCTGTAGTCCCAGCTACTTGGGAGGCCAAGGCAGGAGAATTGCTTGAATCCAGGAGGCAGAGGCTGTAGTGAGCTGAGATCATGAAACTGCACTCCAGCTGGAACAACAGAGTGAGACTCCGTATCAAAATAAAAAGAACTTTGGGGAAAAAATTAGTTAAATTTTAAAGGCTACAAATGTGAACCATAAAAATGACATACTCCTTTATTTTTCTCCTATTTATTTATTTAGTTTTTATTTGTTTATTTTTTTAAAGACGGGGTTTCACCATGTTGGTCAGGCTGGTCTTGAACTCCCAACCTCAGGTGATCCACCTGCCTTGGCCTCCAAAGTGCTTGGGTTACAGGCGTGAGCCACCACGCCCGGCCTTTTTTTTTTTTTTCCTTCTTTCTTTTAGTAGAAGAAACATGGTAGTGTGGAAGTTATTTTAACAACACGACACATAAAGGAGGTTATTTTTCTTTTTTTATTTTTAAGAGGTTATTTTTAATGTTACCTGATGCTTTGTCTCCACATACTACGCAAAGATCAAAAATCTTATTTGGTCCCTGGTCTGGAGAAGAATTATCTGTTAGGAGCTTAAAAAAACAAAAAACAAAAAACCTGTTGTTACTCAACAGCACTCATTCTATTAAAAAATTAAAGAACATTCAGTTGGTTTTGCTTTGTTGCTTTTTCACAAGTTATTCTTCTTTTTTTTTCTTGGTGCCGTGACTCAGGTACGAATCACAAGTTACTCTTAAACTCTGAACTCTATGAAGCGCTCAGAACCTTTCCACAAGGAATGACATGACAAAAAATATGCTTGTAATAGCATAAAAAGATAACTGAACTTTTTAAATAGAAATGGGGCTATAAATAAACTCCCTTGAGGTAATTATATAATCATGCTGATATAGTTGCTATACAAAGGTACAGACTTAAAAAGCTCATCACTAGGCGCAGCTAATAAGATAGTAGCAAAGGAAACTAGTTTCTTCTTTAAAAAACGAACAAAAGCTGGGCACGGTGGCTTACGCCTGTAATCCCAGCACTTTGGGAGGCCAAAGCTGGTGGATCACCTGAGGTCAGGAGTTTGAGACCAGCCTGGTCAATGTGGTGAAACCCCATCTCTACTAAAAATACAAAAAATTAGCCGGCTGTGGTGGTGGGCACCTGTAATCCAAGTTACTTGGGAGGCTAATGCAGAAGAATCCTTGAACCTGGGAGGCAGAGGTTGCAGTGAGCCGAGATCGCACCGCTGCACTCCAGCCTGGGTTACAGAGCAAGATACCATCTCAAAATAAAAAAAAAAAAATAAAAAAAGCTGGGTGTGGTGGTGCATGCCTGCAGTCCCAGCTACTCTGGAGGCTGAGGCAGGAAAACTGCCTGAACCCAGGAAGTGGAGGTTGCAGTGAGCTGAGATTGCACCACTGCACTCTGGCCTGAGTGAGACTCCATCTCAGAGAAAAAAAAAAGGCCAGGCTTGGTGGCTCGCGCCTATAATCCCAGCACTATGGAAGGCTGAGGTGGGTGGATCACAAGGTCAGGAGATCAAGATCATCCTGGCTTAGATGGTGAAACCCTGTCAAAATGAGCTGGACATGGTGGCACGTGCCTGTAGTCCCAGCTACTCAGGAGGCCAAGGCAGGAGAATCATTTGAACCTGGGTGGCAGAGGTTGCAGTGAGCCGAGATTGCGCCACTGCACTCCAGCCTGGGCAACAGAGTGAAACTCCGTCTCAAAAAAAAAAAAAAAAAAAAAAAAAAACAAAAAAAAAAAAGCTAACTAGTTTCTTTCTTTCAACTTTTTCTTTCAATTTTGAAACGTGAACAAATAAATTCAATTTTTAAAAATGGTAAGGCAAGGCCGGGCGCGGTGGCTCAAGCCTGTAATCCCAGTACTTTGGGAGGCCGAGGCGGGTGGATCACGAGGTCAAGAGATCGAGACCATCCTGGTCAGCACGGTGAAACCCCGTCTCTACTAAAAATGCAAAAAATTAGCTGGGCATGGTGGCGCGTGCCTGTAATCCCAGCTACTTAGGAGGCTGAGGCAGGAGAATTGCCTGAACCCAGGAGGCGGAGGTTGCAGTGAGCCAAGAGCCATTGCACTCCAGCCTGGGTAACAAGAGCGAAACTCCGTCCCAAAAAAAAAAAAAAAAGGTAAGGCATTTGAATTCCTTCAGGAGTAATTCTGATTTTACAAACTTTAAATGGTTCTTAAAATGATTACCCCTTACTATGTAATATATTGCATCATTTTTTCTTACATCACCACAACAATCAGTCATCAGTAAGTACTTAATCAAAACAAAAACCTTTGGTACTAGATGTCCTATGAAAGCATCTATGGCAAGTATTACACTTTTCTTTAATAGCCTACCTGTTGCAAATCTTGCTAACCTTTTATCTATTTTTCCTAAGGCTGGAAGGAGATGAGAGATTGAGGGATTTGCCCACATTCCATCTTAGGTCATTAGACCAGAAATCAGCTTTGGACCTAAGGGAATTCCAACCTATACCTGTTTCTCTTTCACTGCTTTTAGAGATGATCCATAAGTAGGCAAAGTGCCAATATTATCTTCATTTTTAAAATACGGAATTTTTTTTAAAGGAGTGACTTTGCAATGGAGAAACCTGACAAATACTACCTCAGTCGGGTGACAGAAGTCAACCTCATCAGTCATAAATCATGTTGATAGTATCTTTTACATAATGTGACAAAATGGCACTTAACTTCTGTAATCTTCCTCCCAGATAAAGTCCATTCATGGGGCATCCTACAATATACCTAGCTAGTACTCCTCACACAACTGTCAAGGTCATCAAAAACAAGGAAAGTGAGAACTGGTCTAACCAAGAGAAGCCAAAGGAGACAGGACAACTCAATGTGATAAGGTATCCTGAATGGGATCCTGGAACAAAAAGGGGCCATTAGGCAAAAACCAAGGAATGTCTAACCACCTATAAGCTTCAGTTAATAATGTATCAATATTCCTCATTAATTGTAATAAACAGGTCATGTGAATATAAAATGTTAATAAGGGAAACTGTATTTACAGGGGGGGTAATATGGGAACTCTGTACTATATGCTCAGTTTTTCTGCAAATCTAAAACTATTCTAAAAAATCAAGTCTACTAATTTAAGAAAAAGAAATTAAGGTACATATAATGTTATAAATTTTTTTGTGTGACTTCTGTCTTGTTGATAAAATGAATTCTTATAAATCTATGGCCCTATCTACTTTCTACCTTTATTTCCAAAACTAATAGAAATAATATCAATGGATGAATAGATGATATCAGGATATGTAGGCAAATTTTCATGTTTTATGAATTCAGAGTTTTTCAATCCAAAGAAGAATTTTCTTTCATTTTTCATCATAAAATGTGAAACCCAATTTTAAGCAGATCCCCTTCAAAAAGTCTCTAAAAGCAAACTTCAGAGTATATCATATTTGTATCCAATCATAGCAACCAGCAGTGAAAACATCTACATAACCACAGGCATGTGGTATATAAAACTTTTTGGGTCTTTGAAGAATAATGTATAATTTTCTATTGTAGCAAAAAGTAAAATGGTGTAATGTTAACCTATACTACCACGTTCCAGAGTAAAGCAGGAGACCATGACTAGACTGCTTGCCATGTCACGGAGATATGCATGACAACAAAGGAAGCACAATGCTGAAGCCAGCAGCTATAGTCCAAACTTCTTGATCTGGCAGCTTCCTGTTTTTGCCACAGGCAGCTTGCTTCTGGAAAATACAGCTATAAAAGCTGCTCCTGACCTGACCATTTCCTAATTATGCAGAAGCAGCAGGAGGTCTCTTAGAAGCGAATTTTTGCAGCATGCTCCAGCATTCTTGAAAACCTGGCCTAGAACTGTTTCTTCAGCCTTCCTAACAATTCTGCAAGCTCTCTATATATTTTATTAAAGGCCTTCCTAGTTACATCAGCCACAGTAGATCTTACTGCATGCAACAAAGAATCCCCCAAAATATATGAGTGTGAGGAAAGTACAGTGGCCCACAGGAGAGGGCTGTCACTGTAGACACTCTGTGCTACACACAGTTTTATGCATTTTTTTTCCTACTGAATATACATATATCCAAAGTATTCATGGCAGGACATATGCTTAAAACAATTTCTTTAAAAAAATTGTTTTTTTTTTTAAAGAAATTATTTTAAGCGTAAGACACTTAAGACACTTGTAAGAGAAAAAGACACTTGTTACCTGCAGGTGTTGTGCAGACAGATCAGGAGTGGTAAAAAATAACTGGTTGACACCTGCTGGATCTGGAGTTGTGAGGAAAACTTTTCCTGGAGTGGCATCTTGCCTGGCCAGAATGACTTTGCTTGGAGAAGAGCCGTCATGATTTGTCAGAATGAACTGCTTGCCTTGGGTATTATGATCAAGTGCTGTCACAATCTGGATTTTCTGCCCAGTTTGCTGCTCTGTAACAATCTAACAAAATTATAAAAAATAAATAATGAATTCAAGTCAATCATTTGTTTTTCTCTAATGACACAATTAACTTCTATCTTCAAAGACAGAAAAGCACATCATTACATATATAGTCAATGTAACACACACGTATACCTTTTTTTAAAAATCTTTTTATTTACAGACTACAGCAGAACATACACATACCTTTTAAACTACCAATTCTACTGCCACAAAATTCTATCCTATGGAAATAAATGTGCAAACAAACAAAGGTACAAGAGTAAGAACATTTTGACCTATTTTGATTCCCTCCTTCCCCTTCCCTCCTACGTTCCATTTAGCCAAATATATATTGGTGATTTCTATTGGCTGTTCTGCATCCTGCAATGTAGCAGTGAATTAAACACAATTTTTGCCTTCATGAAGCTTTTATTTTAGTGGAAAAGGATAGTAAATAGGGAAACAATAATATTGTCAGGTGGTACTAAGTGCTATGAAGAAAAACAAAGTAAGGTGAGACAGTATCAGAATGAGGGCAATGAGGGAAGATCACTCTAAGGAGGTAACGTTTTTGCAAAGATGTGAGTGGAAACAGACCAAGGCTTAGGACTACCTAGGGGAAGAACATTCCAAGTAGAAGAAACAGAGCATAAAAGTAGGTCCCAGGGCAGGAGAGAGGGTGTTTGACACGTGAGGCACAAAGCACAGCAATAGAGCAGTATGAGGAAGAAAGAAGGGAAGATAGGAATTATAGTAGATGGGATCTGAGTGACAGCTGGGACTTAGAGGGCTTTGTAGGCCATACAAAAGTTTAGATTTCCTACTGTGTGAAATGGAGAGCCACCAGAGGGTTGGGAGCAGAGGAATGACAGGATTTTACTGTTTAAAAAAGAATCAGCCAGACACAGTAGCATTTATCTATAATCCCAGCTACTTAGGAGGCTGAGGCAGGAGGATCACTTGAGGCCAGGAGTTCAAGACTAGCCTCGGCAACACAGTGAGATCCTGTTTAAAAAAAAAAAAGTTGTGGCCGGGCACGGTGGCTCAAGCCTGTAATCCCAGCACTTTGGGAGGCCGAGGCGGGTGGATCACGAGGTCAAGAGATCGAGACCATCCTGGTCAACATAGTAAAACCCCGCCCCCACTTAAAAAAAAAAAAAAATAAAAAAAAAAAAAAAAAAGTGTAGGCCGGGTGTGGTGGCTCATGCCTGTAATCCCAGCACTTTGGGAGGCCCAGGTGGGTGGATCAATTGAGGTCAGGAGTTCGAAACCAGCCTGTCCAACATGGCAAAACCCTGTCTCTACTAAAAACACAAAAAATTAGCCGGGCATGGTGGTGCATGCCTGAAATCCCAGCTACTCAGGAGGCTGAGGCAGGAGAATCGCTTGAACCTGGGAGGCGGAGGCTGTAGTGAGCCAAGATCGTGCCACTGAACTCCAGCCTGGGCAACAAGAGCAAAACTCCATCTCGAGAAAAAAAAAAAAAAGTGTAAAAAAGTACTCTAAATTTATTCTGAAGAAAAGACTGCAAATGTTCAAGAGTAGGCTGGGCACCATGGCTCACGCTTGTAATCCCAAGCACTTTGGGAGGCTGAGGCAGGTGGATCCCTTCAAGTCAGGAGTTCGAGAACAGATGGCCAATATGATGAAACCCTGTATCTACTAAAATGTAAAAACTAGCTGGGCATGGTGGTGGGCACCAGTAGTCCCAGCAACTGGAGAGGCTGGGGCAGGAGAATCGCTTGAACCCGGGAGGCGGAGGTTGCACTAAGCTACTACATGCCACTACACTCTAGCCTGGGGGACAGAGCAGGTCTGTCTCAAGAAAAAAAAATGTTCAGGAGTAAAATTAAGGGAGATCAGAAAGGACACTACTGCAGATACCATCAGTATCTGGTTATGATATATGGGCAGAAATACTGGCCAGGAACAGAGTAGGGACCATGCTGGGGGTGAAAAACCAATTATATTGGGATTTTTTTTTATTTTTAAGAAGAGAGAGGTAACAAAATGTGCTGACGGACTGGAGTGGAACATGAAGAAAGAAGAGTCAAGGGGCTGGGCGCAGTGGCTCACAACTGTAATCCCAGCACTTTGGGAGGCCCAGATGGGCAGACTGCCTGAGGTCAGGAGTTCGAGACCAGTCTGGCCAACATGGTAAAACCCTGTCTCTACTAAAAATACACAAAAAAAGCCAGGTGCAGTTGGTTTTGCCTATAATCCCAGCACAATGGGAGGCCGAGGCAGGTGCATCACCTAAGGTCAGGAGTTTGAGACCAGCCTTGGCCGGGCATGGTGAAATCCCGTCTCGATTGAAAATACAAAAGTTAGTGGGACATGGTGGTGGGCGCCTATAGTCCCAGCTACTTGGGAGGCTGAGGCACAAGAATCACTTGAACTTGGAAGGTAGAAGTTGCAGTAATTCGAGATGATGCCACTGCACTCCAGCCTGGACGACACAGTGAGATTCTGTCTCAAAAAGAAAGAAAAAAATTTGCTGGGCATGGTGGCGCATGCCTGTAATCCCAGCTACTCAGAAGGCTGAGGCAAGGGAATTGCTTGAACCAGGGAGGTGACAGTTGTAGGGAGCCAGGACTGAGCCTACACTCCAGTATGGGCGACAGAGCAAGACTCCGTATCAAAAAAAAAAAAAAAAAAGAAGGAAAGGGTCAAGTTTGATTACAAAATTTTGGCTTCAGCAGTTGGCAGGACAGAACTGCCATCTGCCAAGATGGGGTAGTCTGGGGAGGAGCAACTTCAAGAATACAGAGAACTATTTCAGCATTGAGAGTTTCTGGTATTCAGCAAATATATTCCAGAGTAAACTTCATTAGGCCAATGAAATTCCTTGATTTAATTTTGAAATGGCAAAGTTGGTTCCTAATTTTTCATAATTCCAATCCTGTTTCTTCTGTACCAAACTTTTTCTATTTTTATTTTCCTGAAATTATTTCAATATTCTTTTCTATGCAAAATTTAAAACGAAGCTCTGATTCACTAATCAGTTTCTTCCTAAAGCAAATTGTATTGAATAAAAGACTAATATAATAGTTCACACTGTCTTAGAGAAGAGCACTTGGCATATCCATGGTCTAACTGTTCCTGGGTTGAAACATTCTGCTTAAATGAGTAAAAGGACATTTACTGCACCATGATAATTATAATAATTGAATATTTAAGCAATCCAAAGAGCCTTCAATAGGGAAGAGCAGTAGATTATGGAAACAGTTCTTGGGTTTTAGGACTCCTTTACATTCTAAAATATTACTGAGGATTCTGAAGAGCTTTTTTTTTTTTTTTTTTTTTTTTTTTTTTTTTTTTGAGACAGTTTCACACTTGTTGCTGAGGCTGGAGTGCAATGGTGCGATCTCGGCTCACTGCAACCTCTACCTCCCAGGTTTAAGCGTTTCTCCTGCCTCAGCCTCCTGACTAGCTAGGATTACAGGCGCCTGCCACCACATACAACTAATTATTTGTATTTTTAGCAGAGATG